GGTCTTCCACTTTTCCTATTGCCTCCAGCCTTACTAAGCATTGTCATCTTTTCCCAGTGAATCATGTCATATCATACCATGTCATATCATAAGAAAGCTGACTGGCACAACCTGGGGATCACAACCAGACACAGTGAAGACATCTGCCCTTGCGCTATGCTACTCTGCTGCTGAGTATGCATGTCCAGTGTGGAACACATCTCACCATGCTAAAACAGTGGATGTGGCTCTTAATGAGACATGCCGCATTATCACGGGGTGTCTGCGACCTACACCACTGGAGAAATTACACTGTTTAGCCGGTATTGCACCACCTGACATCCGCCGGGAAGTAGCAGCCAATAGTGAAAGGACCAAGGCAGTGACATCTCCAGCTCATCCCTTTGGTATCAGCCAGCACGTCAACGACTTAAATCAAGAAATAGTTTTCTAAGATCTACAGAGACACTCGCTGGAACACCTCAGCAAGGAAGAGTCCAAAAGTGGCAGGCTCAAACCCAGAACCTCAATCCGTAGCTGATACCAGATGAGAGACTCCCCCCTGGGCACACAGAAGACTGGGACTTGGAAGGCGCTGAACAGACTGTGCTGGCACCACGAGATGCAGAGCCAACCTAGAAATGGGGCCACAAAGTGGAGTCCACACCTGCAAGTGTGGAGAAGAAGCAAACCACTGACCACCTGCTGCAATGCAGCCTGAGCCCTGCACATGCACAATGGAGGACCTTCTTGCAGCAACACCAGAGGCACTCCCAAGTGGCCAGATACTGGTCAAAGGACATTTTTTTAAAGAAATTTTATTAAAATTTTACATAGAATACAACGAAAGAGTGAGAACAATAAGGTATAGAAAAGTGAAGAAAAAAAGAGAAAGGGAAAGGCCAGTAAAGTAAAAAGTAAAAAAGACATCCTAAATAAACCCTTAAAAAAAGATAAAAATATATATGTATATATATATACATCCACAAAGGACATTTAATCAATTACCAAGTTTGCAAATTTTGTGTTTTATCTGTTTGTTTATTTTGTTCTGTTAGAAATGTAATACAATTGTCTGGTTGCCCCTGACACAATCAATAAATAAATGTCATATCATGATACAGCCAAAGTAGGATAGCCTCTTTTAAGTAATTTAAGAGCAAATCAAGTCTCAAGCCTAATTTGCTCTCAGACCCAGTATTTATGGTGAGGTTTCAGATTTTAAGAGTAGTATTAAAGCGCTACTCTTAAATATTAGTAGGAGTAGGTGCACATAAGCCTGCTGAATGTTGGAAGCTAATGTCTACTGACATCTTCAGGACCACATTTTGCATGCACTTGCCACAAAGATCCTAGAGGAGGTGTCATATTCATGCAGCCTTAGGTGGCTCTTCTGTAGATCTAGTGATAATTCTTCACCTGTAAAACTGGCACAAAATAAGAACCTGTCTGACTTGGTCCTTGTAATGATTTCCTAGCCCCCATGTTGCTGGATAAACAGATCAAAATAGCTTTGTTCAGCGTTGGCCAAGAGTGGTAATCAGACTAGCCTTCCAATTCTGGTTGAATAACGAATAGGATTACCGGGCACCCCCTACTATAATTTGAAAGCTGGAAAGGTTGTCCTTTATAGGCCTGGTAGTTGTTCCTCAGTCTAAGTGCTGTCCCCTCCTTGAGAGCTAGAAGGGTTATATAAACTGAATGAAATAGCAAAAAATCCTGGTGCCAGTCTTCATAAAGACAGAAGTATGTACATCATGTAATTTATGAATGTAATTAATATGTTAATTTTACAGAGGAATACATAGCAAGATAAACCAAAATAGATTAACTTTCATTTGATATTTAAGCAGAAAACAAACATACCAATAACCATGGATTTTGGGGTATCTTATTGCTGGTTTGAAAATCTGGTAACGCTACCTGCAAGACTCTGTAGTGTTGACGAGCACGGACAGTGGTAAAGAAAGATGGATATTGCAGTGCAGCATCTGAAAGCTCAATTTGCACTTCTCATACAGAACATTGTGTTCATGCCTTGTTTGTTGGGCTGAATGATTACATTTGCTGATACAAATCTGAGAGAAAGTCCAAGATGCCATAAACCGTCTGATGCTTTAAATTTCTTTTTAGTTTAATTTGTAAGAGCTTATTTTCTGGTAAATGTGTGTGATATGTTATATTGTGTTTAAAGTAAAGGTTTTCCCCTGGCATTAAGTCCAGTTGTGTCCGACTCTGGGGGTTGGTGCTCATCTCCATTTCTAAGCCAAAGAGTCGGTGTTGTCCGTAGACACCTCCAAGGTCAATGTGGCCAGCATGACTGCATGGAGTGCCATTACATTCCTGCCGGATCGATACCTATTGATCTACTCACATTTGCATGTTTTCGAACTGCTAGGTTGGCAGAAGCTGGGGCTAACAGCGGGAGCTCACTCTGCTCCCCGGATTTGAACCGGCAACCTTTCTGCCAGCAAGTTCAGCAGCTCAGCGGTTTAACCCACCGGGCTTATGGAGCCACCGGGGGCTCCTTAAATAAAATATTATGTTTATTTAAGTCTATTTTTTATTATTTTTGGTTAGTGTTATAAGTTCATATTAAGATTGTTTTATCCATTGGCATGATTTGATTTGTTGCTTTGTCTATTTTGGCATTGAATTTTTTCCTTTTTTATTTTTGTTAGAAACCGTGCTGAAGATGGTTATAAATGAAGTATTATTATTTCAGTTGCGTATTGGGTTGCCACACGGTAGTGATTTTTCTCTGGTCAAGACTTGTTTAAAAAAGTTTTAAGAATGCAATTTGCACCCCACTACATCTTTATTAGTGAGTGTTATTAATTTGACCAAATAGCAATATAATGATAATCAGAACTTCCATTTCCATTCCTTCGTGGGGTACCAAGGCCTAATTCCAATATCCTTTCACAAAGTGGAGCTGTAGTGGAATGGGTGAAGAAAAGCACAGTGGATTGAATTCTGATTTAGCCGTATTTAAATTTATTGATATAGCCAACTTCAATTTATTTATGATATTTATAGCCCGCCTTTCTCAGCCATCCACCGACTCAAGGCGGGTTATCGATTGGCACAATTCGATGTCAGGCATTCATAAAAGTGCCATTAAAACCCATCAACATTACAATATAAAACATAAATAAAAACCGTTAAAGCATATAATCATTGGTGTCATCCTGTTAAAAATGTTATCCAGTAACATCGTCTGGCCATTCCATGTTCATCATCCATAGTTCCGTGTTATCTATTCTGCTGCATTCTCAAAAGCTTGCTCAAAGAGCCAGGTCTTTACTTTTTTTGGAAAGTCAGGAGGGAGAGGGACGATCTAATATCCCTGGGAAGGGAGTTCCATAGCCAGGGGGCCACCACTGAGAAGGCCCTGTCTGTCGTCTCTGCCAATCGCAGTTGTGAGGAAGGCGGGATTGAGAGCAGGGCCTCCCCAGATGATCTTAAACTCCTAGATCAGGGGACTTCAAACTTTTTAAAGGGGCCAGGTCACGGTCCCTCAAACCGCTGGAGGGCCGGATTATAATTTGCAAAAAATATGAATGAATTCCTATGCACACTGCACATATATTATTTGTAAAAACAATACAATAATTAAAATGAAGAACGTTAACAAATATAAACTTATTAGTATTGCAATGGGAAGTGTAGGCCTCCTTTTGGCTGATGAGATAGGATTGTTGTTGCGTGCTTTCAAGACTTAAGTTGACCCTGAGTGAGGGCCGGGTAAATGACCTTGGAGGGCCTTATCTGGCCCTCGGGCCTTAGATTGAGGACCCCTCTCCTAGATGGTTCATAGGAGGAGATACATTCGGACTCCATGAAAGAAAATCAACAGCCTTCTTATGGTATCAGTGGGCCTAAAGCAGGGGTCCTCAAATTTTTTAAACAGAGGGCCCCAGGTCACAGTCCTTCAAACTGTTGGAGGGCCGAATTATAATTTGAAAAAAAAAAAGGTTCATAGGAGATACATTCGGACTCCATGAAAGAAAATCAACAGCCTTTTTCTGGTCTCAGTGAGCCTAAAGTTTATCATAGTGGAAGAGTATTGACATTGGGTTGTTGTGTAGGTTTTTCCGGGCTATATGGCCATGTTCTGGAGGCAATTTTTCTCCTGACGTTTCGCCTGCATCTATGGCAAGCATCCTCAGAGGTAGTGAGGTCTTACAAGGTTGGTGCACAGGCAGTAACGGGCCTGGCTTGGAAAAGCTAAGTATTGACATTGATTTTCTGGCCAGGAGGGTTGTGCTATGTATGTCTCAATGTAAATTTTCAAATTTAGGATTTAAGGAGAAAAGTAGTCCATAGCTTAGATTGTTTTTGGGTATGTGTGGGTACTGAAATTGATGCAGGGGAGAGGGCTGAAACTTAAATTTTGCTCTGGACGGGTCTGCAACTGTGTTGTTTTCCACTCGTTTGTCCCTTGTTGTTGTCTCAATGGGTCTGCAACTGTGTTGTTGTCTCAGTGGGTCTGCAACTGTGTTGTTTTCCACCCGTTTGTCATTTGTTCCTAGCGTTTGTTTACTTAGCGTCCACGGATGGTATATTCTCATGCTGGCTTGAAGTCTCTCTTGCAATTGCCTGGCGATCCGATTTCTATAGGTTTCTCTTTCTTTCCCTTTCCCGGCGCACTCTTGCCTTGCTTTCCTCCTTTCAAGTCTTCCCCTCCAATCCATCCATTCATTCATCTCGGGTGTACGCGCCTTTTTGTAACTTGCCTTTTTTCCCTTGCTCGCGCGCAGCAACACTTTTTTTTCTTTTTTAGCTGCATAGCTGGGAAGGGGTTTTTTTCCCTCCTTCTTCCTTTGGAGGGGTTGCAGTGCCTTGGAGAAACCGGCGATGGCGCTAACGCTTGCCTCCCTTTTTCTCTCTCCTTTTAATAGACATCCTCCCCGCCTCTCTCTCTCTCCCTCTCTCTCTCTCCTCTTTTTACTTTCCCTTCCCCCTGCCTTGCCTGCCCGGTGCATTCTCCGATTAGAGGGAGGAGAGAGAGAGAGAGAGGGAGGGAGGGAGGAGGAGGAGGGCAGAGAGAAGGAGCCCGGCCGCCATTTTTTCCCCCGAACAGAATTTAGCAGCAGAAAAAAAAACAGCAGCAGCAGCGCCACCTCCGCGGCTGCTGCTGCTGCGGCTGCCCGGGCACGAAGGCAAAAGCGGGGGGCCCTGAAGGCGGGGAGAAGGCGGGAGCACCGCAGAGGGGTTGTGTTGCACACTGTCCCACTTTGAAGAAGAGAGAGAGAGAGAGAGAGACCCTCCTTTGCAGTACGAGGAGAAGGAGGAGGAGGCGCCACAACAGCCGCCACTACTGGAGGAGGAGGAAGACAGGAGCGCCCTTTTTTTCCCCGCGCCGCCGCCGCCGCCTCTTCTCCTCGAGGGAGGGCCCTCCTTCTCTCCTCTCCCCCCTTTTCTCCAGGGTGTGCTGGGGGTGGTTGGAAAAAGAGAAGGCGCCCTTCCCTCCCCGCCGCCCCAAATCCCTTCCTTCCCCACAGCCCTTTTCCTGCCCGCCCGCCCTCCTTGCCCGCAGAAGAGCAAGGAGCAGGCGGGCAGGGAAAGGGGAGCCGGGAGGGGAAGGAGGAAAGGAGGAGGAAGAAAGAACAGAGCCGCGGCAAGGAGGAGGAGGAGGAGACGGCTACGGCAAACACTGAAGAGCCCCTCGCCTTGTTTGCAAACTGCGCCCTTTCCATTTGGGCGAATTTTCCATATATTTTTTTTGGTACCGGGTCGGATCCGCCCGGACTCTGCTCTCGGCTCCATCACGTGGTAGGTGCCGCCGCCTGCTTCGCCTTTTTGTCTGTGTGTGTGAGTGTGTGTGTGAGTGCTTCCCTCCCTCCCTGCCTGCCTGCTTGCTTGCTTGCTTGCTTACCCCGCTCTGCTCGATGCTCGCTTTCCCCGTTGCCCTTGCTCGGCCCTTCTTGCCGTGCCTTTGTTAGCGCGCCTGGCTGCACCCCCGAAGGAAGCAAGCCCGCAGAACACAGAAAACAACTTCTTTTGACCCCTTTCTCTCTCTTCTTCCCCCCCACCTTTGCCCTGGATTTCCCACTCCCCCCTTTCTTTTAATTTTGGTTCCCCAAACGCAGCCATTATTTAGTTAGATGTCTTTCTCCTTGGAAAGGGCGTCATAACATTATTTGCTTCACAACTTCACCGCCCGGGTGGGTGTCTTTCTCTCCCGCTCTCTCTCTCTCGGTGCCAGGCACAGCGAGGCTCTTGCTCCTCCATGATGAATATTATTAATTCGCTTCTCGGCGTTACTTTCTCGTTCTTCTTCTCCCCTTGCCGTGTCCTAGAGTTGAAAACGCAGACCTCCCCTTCCCCCCTTTTAAAAGGGCCACGCAAAGGGTGTAATCGCGCTTTTATTTTCCAAAACATCTCCAAAATCCTTGGGCATTAGGGCCACGCAGAGGGTGTAATCGCGCTTTTATTATTTTCCAAAATCCTTGGAAATTTAATATGGGGCGGCAAGGAAAGTGTTATAGAGAGGGTTACAAAACTGCCTGGTCTCCCATACTTGCTGGGGGGGGGGGGTTGGAGGGGGAAGAGGAGAGGAAGAAACGGAGTGAGGGTTGACTTTGGAAACAGAGGCGACCGACACTCCTGAAATGTGCACTTTTCTAGGCACTTTTTGGAACGCTATCTGTGGAAACAAACGCGTATTTTTCTTCCTGCTTTCCAGTTTTTAATAATTTTGAAAAGTGGCTTAAAAACAAACAAATCCTAACTCTGAAGCTGGTGTTTGTTATGTGCGTGTGTGCGCGCTTCGGCGAAGTATTGCGGCTCCATTGCAAGCCCAGGAGGGAGGGGGAGGGAAAGAGGGAGGAGGGCTGGTTTCTGGTGGCGCCACTTTAAACTGAAGGCTCTCCCCTCACCCTCTTGGTCACAGGCAGCTTCTCAAGTGGGACCTGTCTTCCATTTCTTTTTGTGTTCGTTTCCCCTCCCTCTACCCTATTCATAAAATGCGCACGCCTTCCACTTTACTACTCCTGGGTCGCCTGGAGAACGCCGGCGCGCCCCAACTCCCATCATAGCCTTCCAAAACCTTCCTCAATTTCCCCACTGAAAGATCTTATTTATAAACTAGCCGTCCCCTGCCACGCGTTCCTGTGGCCCAGTCTGGTGATCTGGAAAATAAAGTAATGAGAAAGTGTTGGTTTCTATGTAATTCCTTTAAGCTTGTGGGTAAACAGTATTTCTTTGTCAGTGTTGATGTGGAGATTGTCTGATTTGCCTACTCTGGAACATGCCACATATAATTGTCCTTCTTTAGGGGTCCCTTTGAAATCTATGATACTATGTGTGTGTATGGATCATATTTATCTATATCTATGGCTGGATGGCTCTTTGTCAGGAGGGCTTTGATTACATTTTTTGCCCTGGTGAAGGGAGTCGGACTGGATGGCCTTAAGTATTTTCTGTTGATCATGAGGGTTCTGTGTGGGAAGTCTGCCCCAATTCTGTCCTTGGTGGGGTTCAGCATGCTCTTTGATTGTAGGTGAACTATAAATCTCAGTAACTATAACTCCCAAATGTCAAAGTCTATTTCCCCCCAAACTGCATCTGTGTTAATATTTGGGCATATGGAATATTCGTGCCAAGTTTGGTCCAGATCTATCATTGTTTGAGTCCAAAGTGCTATCTGGAAGTAGGTGAACTACAACTCCCAAACTCAAGGTCAATGCCCACCAAACCCTTCTAGTGTTTTCTCTTGGTCATGGGAGTTCTGTGTGCCACAATTGGTTCAATTCCATCATTGGTGGAGTTCAGAATGCTCTGATTATAGGTGTACTATAAATCCCAGCAACTACAACCCCCAAATGACAAAATTATTTTTTAGTGATGGTCGTTCCTTGGGTTAGTAGCTGTCTTGTGGCCAAATTTGGCGGCAATTCCCCCAGTGGCTTTTGAGTAATGTTAATCCCACAAATGAACATTACATTTCAATTTATACTAGCTGTCCCCTGCCACGTGTTGCTGTGGCCCAGTCTGTGTATATGTGTTTTGTGTATATGTGTGTGCATATATTTGTGTATATGTATATATATGTGTTTATGTGCATGTTTTGTAATGTATTTTTTATTTTTTGGCTCTTTAAGTCTCTTCCACTGTGATTTCCAGTATTTTTATGAGTGATGGTCACTCATGGGCCTGATAGGTGTATTGTGTCTAAATTTGTTGTCGATTTGTCCAGTGGTTTTTGAATTATGTCAATCCCACAAACGAACATTACATTTTTATATATATAGAAGATGTGTGTATGGCAGCTCCCCTTTTGGCAATCTCACCATCACATGTCTGCTTGGCAATCATTTTTGTGTGTGTGTGACCGTCTGTGCGAGTTGTATTGACTGCTTGGTGGTGGTGAATGACAATCAACAACACATCTAAGTCTTTCCTCCTCTCCTTCTAAGTATTAAATTGCAAATTTGGCCGGCAGTGATTGTTTCTAAACTCCCCCATCTTCATTACTGGGCGTGGATTGGACTCCTTCACCCAAACAAACTCTTAAATAAGGTTCTGAGAAACCGGGCACGAATTGCATAACACTTGTTTTGCATAATCTTGATGATGTGGGATTTCCCTCTTTATTATAATGGGTCTCAAAATTATTTGATTGGCGTGTAGTAGACTCAGATCACATGTTAATAACTACTGGACTTGTTATGCCTATAAACGGGCTTCTGTCACCTTGCTGACTGCCCAATATTGGTGGCTTGTTTCTGAAACCTTTGTGTGATGGATAGATACTTTCCCCCTCCCCCCTTATTGCTTGAGCCACATAATAGTTGTCTCATTCACCGGTGTGGATTTGTCCCTGTAATTTTTTTTGTGCTGTCTGACTGCCCTTTATTACCAGTGATTTAGAATTGGGAATGTTTTCATTCATAGATCAAACTGTAAGCAATTTGGAACCACTTGTAAGTTTTTTCTCTTGAATATGGCAAATTAAAGAGAGCTTTGAAGACACCATGTCCTCTGAGAATTGTTGCTTGTTCACCTTAAAAGGGAAAATGTCATAAAAATACATGCCCCTTTTTCTGTTGAGGGAGTGTCAAGTGGCCTTTGATTCAAAAAGCATTTTGTGCTATATATTTTTATTTGTTGACCGTAATGTGAGAGAAAAGCTTGTTTTGGAGATCAAATCAGGAGCCATTTGGGTCTCTTTTTCTTAAGCAGTTGCGTCATGACATGTGATGCTTACTCTGATACATTATTCTAAAAATAAGACCTAGGTAAAAAAGCTCTCTGTCAGAAGTTGTGTTGTGAAAGTAGGAGAGAGTGCTTTGGTTGTGACACATTGAAATTTTAGAACTTGTAGCAAATCAGTTTATCCCTGGGGTTGTTGATCCAGCTTCCTCTGAGTGTGTTTTAAGGGGGGAAATCGATTCCTAAAAGGAAAATATATCTATCCATCTATCTCAGTTCTGCAATCTTGCACACTCAGAACAGAACACCAGGAAGTAAATCCCATGTTGCAGTCTGTGACTTGGTTCAGTATAAATATGCATGGGATTCAACAGATTACAGTGGGTGTTTGTACTCAGAAGGAATTTGTCACGGGTGGCTCTGAATACCAGGCAGGCATGTATTTAATAAAATGGTGTTTTGAGACAGTGAGAAGGTTTACTTAACCATTATATGCCGCCTTATCTGAGGGCCCTTCCACACAGCCATATAACCCAGAACATCAAGGCAGAAAACCCCACAATATCTGCTTTGTACTGGTTTATCTGAGCCTACACTGCCATACATTCCAAATCAAAGTAAAAAAAATGAGGGATTTTATTCTGTTGTGTGGAAGGGCTCTCAGAGCTAGGGCTAGTGAATTGAGCAAGACTTATGTTTGAATAGAAAGGTATAGGAGTGTATTGTTGCTTTTGCTGTTGTTGATAACCGTCTACTTCTTGAAAGGCTTAAAGTGGGATCTAGTCCACAAAATCTTCGGCCACAGATGTTCTTCCAATTGAAATTTGTAACAAAATGACACCATCGTAGATGTACAACTTTGGGGCTCAATCTAGTAAAATCCAAAAGAGGAAAAATCGACACATATGGTTAATTGTGAAAGAACTATAGAAGAAAATAGGGTAAAGCTTTTCCATATTTAAAGTGGCATATGAATTTCCCAAAGGGATCTATCATAGAATAATCATAGGGTGCCTCTTAATTTCTTATTTGGTTAGAGCAGGGGTCCTAAAACTTTTTAAACAGAGGGCCAGATCACAGTCCCTCAAACTGTTGGAGGGCCAGATTATAATTTGAAAAAAAAAACAAACCCATGAACTCCTATGCACACTGTACATATCTTATTTGTAGTACAAAAAAAACAATACAATAATTAAAATGAAGAACAATTTTAACAAATATAAAATTATTAGTATTTCAGTGGGAAGTGTGGGTCTGCTTTTGGCTGATGAGATAGGGTTGTTGTTGTTGTTGTTGTTGTTGTGTGCTTTCAAGTCATTTCAGACTTAGGTTGACCCTGAGCGAGGGCCGGGTAAATGACCTTGGAGGGCTGCATTCGGCCCCTGGGCCTTAGTTTGAGGACCCCTGGTTTAGAGTATGAAAGCTGCTTTGATCCATTATAATTGTCATATGGATTTGTAGGCAGTTCAATTATTAGTATTAAGTTTCCTTATTGATGTTTTCTGAGCAGTGTTCTTTATTATTGTTCTCATAAGACACTCTAGCCTCTTTTGAACCTGAAGTTTCCTTTTAAAAAAGTCTATATTCACGTATTCTACATCCATGGATTTTCTCTCATG